AGTGCACTGCTATCTCATATTTAAGTGATTGTCCACTAGGGCTCCAAGATCCCTCTTATAGTTACTACTATTGAACCAGGTACCACCTATACTATACCTGTGCTTTTTAGCTTTTCTTGCCTAAATCTACAACCTTACTTTTCTCTACGTTGAATTTTATTTTGTTAGATAGGGCCCAGTGTTCAAGTCTGTCAAGATCCTTATGTATTTTAAGCTTATCTTCTGGAGTGTTGGCTATTCCTGCCAGCTTGGTGTCTGCAAATTTGATGAGTCCCCCATCTATTCCCCCATCTAAATCATTGATGAAGATATTAAAGACTACTGGCCCTAAAACAGACCTTGGGATACCCTACTGCACACTTCCCTCTATGTAGATGCAGTTCCATTGAGGACTACAGACTCATTTGTGAATCTCATTCATATGGTATCTTAACAGTCTTTCAGTTCTACCATTCCCAAGGTATTAATCATAGTTCAAACAGGCTTGTCCTACTATATAGATATTTTCTCACTCTATCTCCATGCTCACTAGAGCATAATTCCAACAGAAACAGGCAATTAAGGCAAGAAAAAATAATATATTATTGTAGGAATCTACCACAACCAAGCCTTCCTTGATATAAAACATTTCTTTGCTTGCCATTGTTTAAAATAATTATTGTTCTGCTTGCCATTGTTTAAAAGAACAGTCTCCTCTAAGCAAAAATAATCATCCTGTCTTTTGGACAATAACTGACAGAAGATGAATGAGCATTCTCTCAGAAAATTGTTTCCCTAAATCTGTGTTAGCAGTAGAGAGAGATCAGGTATCTGCAGGGTGTGACCCTTCAACCCTTCTTACATTAAGATTAGCTCCATTGCAAATGTTCTTTCTAAGAGCAACTGTCAGCCATTAAAAAATCACTTCTGGTTTAACAGCCAGTCAAGGAAGGACTATTTGTAAGGAAGAACAGACAGGAAGAGAGTTAAATTCTTCCTAACTGTATACTACATTTTGTTTTCTAGTACTATATCCTCACCCACACAATGTTTTCTGCTGCATGGACAACAAGAATGCAGTTCAATAGCTGTGGCATGAATACTACTTATAATCACTGCTTGAGCCAATGGCACTGATTGTCCAGACAGGCTATCCTTCAGGAAAATATAATAAAACATCACTAGTCTCATAAGTTTAAAAAACATCCTAGAGGAAGCATTAGCAATCCACTTCCAAATTGTGCCAGAAAAGCTGTGTCCATTCCAACTGCCAAGCTTTGTTCAGAAACATGTTGCATGTAATGTTCATGCAAACTGATCACTGTCCCTACTCTGCAATACCTGTTGGGAAAAAACAAAGCAAAAAGACCTTCCCAAATTCCATCAAATTCTGAAAAGCAAGACAACATAGTGGTGGCTTCTACCTTTCTCAATCATTCTTCCCTACCTATCACAATAGATGGGACTACAATGTTACCAGCAACTATCCAATGCTTCTACTGAATAGTTTTGAGACAGCAGTTCTTCCTGCCCCAAACCATCACTACTTCCTCAGTCTCAACCTATAGGTACTGCTTGCTTCTTGGAGCAAATACAGCATATGCAAATAGAGAAAAGTTCTCTTTTGTCCAACGATTCTCACCTATATGATATGCTGAACTGCTAAGGCAAAGTTAAGGAGGGCTGAGGGCTAAGCAACAATTGGCATGACCCTGGGAGGAGGAGCTACTTTGTTCCTTCTCTTCTGAATTCCATCTCCTGGTAATCCCAAAACTGGGATGTCTGCCTACTGAATTCAATCTTAATCTGTGCCATCCAGAGAGATGGGATAGATAAGGAGATAATTGCTTTTGCAACTTAGTCCTTTTTTCTCTTCGATAATGCAGCACAGGAGGAATGGGTTTAGCAGGTACAGCCAAAGAATGGCATGGTAAAAGAAGACAATATCCTGCTCTCTGATCCTCTCCAATTAGGTTGTATTAAAGTTAACCTACAGATAAATGTATTTATCTATATCCCGCTTATATTATTTTTATAAACAATTCAAAATGTCAATACTCCTTCCTCCTCCTGTCTTCCCACAACAACCCTGTGAGATGAGTTGTGTTGAGACTATATGATAGGCCAAGGTCACTCAGCTGGCTTTCACAGCCAAAACAGAATTAAAACTACCAAACTCTTGGTTATGTGTGGTTATGTATGGTTATGTGTGATTGTAATAGCCTTAGAAGTCCTAAATCCACAATAGTCAGAGAACTTGAAAAGCACACAAAAATTTGAAATAACCTCTGCCTTCTTTTCCTTGCATACTAGTTACTGTATTGTGTTCCCCATGAGTTTTAAGTACCATGCGTTTTAAATAGTAAAATTCAGAAAATGATGAGTATTGAGAGAAGAAGAGAAGAAGGAAGTATATTCCTTATTTGGAAGGCTGCTCAGCCTGTTAGTTTAGAATTTGATTACTTCTCCACACTCACAGACTACTTCCTTCAGAATAAAAAGTCTGGATCTTGTGACAAAACCTTACATACACAGAGAGAGACAGAAAGATATATTCACAATATACACCCATATTTTCAATTCTGACATTTTAAGCCAGGGCAAAAAACATGGTGTCCATAAATACCTTCTTTGATGTGTGTGACACAGAATATAAAGATTGGAAGGAATATGGAAGATCATCTAGACCAATTCCTTGTCCATCCATCCACTGAACACCTTCAGTGAAAGACTTCTTTCTCCATCACCACCTGAGGCAATCTATTCCATTGTGGAACAGCTCTTACCATTAGGACATTTTTCTTGATGTCCTATCATAGGGGTGTCAAACTGGTGGCCCGCAGACCGGATGCGACGCCCACCCCCGCTCCACAAAGGCAAAAAACATTGTGATATGCAGTGCTTTTTTTCTAAAAAAAAAAAAAAAAGGTGCCGGAACTCACACACGTCATACAACCCGCCTCGCCTATCCTATAAGGTTCCATCCAAAAAAGGTGCTGGAACTCCGTTCTGGGCATTCTATGAGAAAAAAAAGCCCTGGTGATATGTCACAATACATCACGTGACACAATAGAGTTTGACACCCCTGTCCTATCACCATTTACCATCTTGCTCATTTTAACCTATCTTCTGGAAGAACCAAACCAATGTTGCCCCATTTTTTACCCGATGGCCCTTTCAGCTATTTTAAGACAGTTATTATACATTACTACAATCTTCTCATCTCCACGCTAAACAAAACCAATTTAGAAATATCAGCTGGAAAGTTTTTAAGAATCACCTAGTTTTCCCAGAAATTTTTTCTACTGGAGGCAATTTCAAAGGTATATGATGCTTACTTTCTGTTTGCTATGACCTGTGGTTTTCTCTCAGGATGTTTTGCATAACTGCAAAATAATTAAGTTGGAAGCAGAACCAGCAGCTTACAGGCACCTGTAGCCATTATTAGAAAAGAATGAAGCTTCACCTACAAGTCTGCACAACGGCCCAGTAAAAAAAGAAAAGTTTTGGCACCAGGTTATAAACCAGAAGATCATGAGTTGTAGTCCTGCCTTGGGTATAAAGCCAATTAGCGACTTTAAGTCAATCATTTTCGCTCAGCCTAAGAAGGAAGCAATGGCAAACCGCTTCTGAAAAACCTTCCCCAAAATACTGCAGAGCTTGTCCAGGCAGACACCAAATGTCAAAACTGACTAAAGGCATAAAAATAAGTCTATTAATATATTTCAAAAAGTAACCTGGGGAGAGGAAAATGATAGGGAATCAACCTTTTGGTTTTTTGTGTCTGTCATGCCCATCATGATGACCATTTTCCTTACCCAATTCCAAAGTTGTTGTATTATTATTATGGATCATCGCAGTGTCAGCCAGATGTTCAGACTGGATTTGGCAGTTTGTCTACCTATCGAGTCCTTACCCAGGACCTGGGATAGGCAGATGTGGATGTTTGATGGTATTACAGATATTGTTGCAGTATTATTATTATTATTATTATTATTATTATTATTATTATTATTATTAAGCAGACTACAATCTTTCTGGTGTCTGACATAATTGTAAGCAGTGTAAGACTTGAATGCATTTGGCTAAAATATAAATTGACCATTTCATACACTACCTTTTGTCTAATAACAGATTAAGAGCAGTTTTAGAAAGCAGAAAAGACAAGAGAAATATCAGGGTCACAAATAAACTGAGGGAAAGAAGAGTAAGTCTTCCATTAATTATGTTGTTAATTCTTGAAGGGACAACAGGGACATACATCAACCAATCTACCAATACAAGGAATACATCGGCCCCATGCGTAATTCTTACTAATATATTCAACAGAGTTTATTCCCAGATATAAAAAAAAACTTTTAAGGATTCTAACTCTCGTTCCTCTGTTTGCATTTGAACATACTTATTGTTTCATCTAATAACATTCCTAAATTTACGCTGGTTCTTCGTCTCCTGATCTTGACATTGCCACATTATCAGTTTCTGCTCAGCGAAACCCTGCCACACCATCGCTCTCCCAAGAATATTTCACGAAAGGCAGTCCCGATGGAAGAATAGCTTGCAAGGGTTTGTATTTAGATCGCCTATCGTTGTTAGAAACCGAAATCCATATTCCCTAGATCGTCAAACACGTGGGAAACATCTAAGCGCCGAGGATTATTCTCGGTTCCGTAAAAGTCACAGTCACAAGTCACTCAAGCAACTTTTCTTCCCACCCGGTCAAAATATGTTACGCAAATACATTAATATGTCACAACTCCTCCTAGTACAAACCCCCCCCCCTTTTCTCCTCCCTTGAAATGAAACATCGCCCATTCAGTTTTATAAACAGTCCGACAGCAGCAAGTTGGCAAGACGGGGCAGTTTGATTCTCCTTTCTAAGCAGCAAGCAAACAGCTTCTCTAGCCCACTAGCTAACACGGCAATTCTCTCGGGTCTTCTTATTCCACTCTTCCTAGAAGTTTTTCCACTCCCCCAATCTTTCTCACTATCATGAAGCATGCTAAGCATATGGCTCTTACAATGTGGACGGCGGCGCATCCCACGGTCCAACTAGTTCTGATTCTTGCTTGGATTGTCCTCCGCCCACTCACACGCTCCTCTTTTCGGCTCGGCTGGGCTGAATTTTCATTCGCAACTGGAGCCGAGTGGGCGGAGTTACGGAGTCAGATGGTCCAGGGGTTTAAGGAGGCGCTCAAAGTTGAACTTCGCCTTGCTAACGTCATCCACGCTTGGAAGGACGGCCGGCGGTGGATGAAATGCACGTGGAAAGGGTCGGGAAAGCGATCAGTTGAGACAGTTGCAGCAAAAAGCTGACCAACTGCACGTATATTTGCTCCGAAGTTTCTGTTTTGCCTCCGCTGTAGTCAGTGGGATTAGCTTCTACGTGAGCATTTGAAGGCACAACCTGTTAGTGCAATAAAACATGGAGCAGCGATTCAGTAGAGAAAACGCCCTGGGGAAAACACCCCAGTCGGCGGTTGATCTGTTACTTCTCATATTTCTTTTCCGCGTCGCGAAAGCCGACGGCAGAGACGGTGCATAAGGTCACGTTAAACCAGGTGGGACCGGATCTTGGATTACTTTTTCTAGCATCTTATTCCTTTTCCACGCTAGTTGAAGATCCAAGGTTCCTCTTTGCGTTTATCGAGGTGGTCTACTACATAACGCCTATTTGGGGAAGAAGACGAAGGAAAACCAAAACCATTATATTAGACTGGATTCTAATGTAGTGGCTAATGAACTTTTCAAAGGGAAAATAAAGCTATACCTTACAGAAGAGACATTTTAACAATTACAATTATTCCTATAGCATTTTAGTTTTGGTTTTGGAAGTTTGTAGCTTCTCTTTTCATTTTTTACCACAAAGGCAAATGGGGAGAGAGTGAGGAAAGGGGCCTTCACGCACTGACCTAATGTTTGTAACATTGTTATTTAACGTGCTCCCTGTGCTTAAGATCAAAGGTTCTCCGAGTCCTTATTCTATCCTCCGATAGTTTAAATGGAAGTGAGTTTTTCCTATTTTCATGTATTTTTTTTAATCTAGTTTTTACTCTAAATGTAGAAACACCTTGTGTTAGAATATTCATTGACATCTGGGCTGTCCCTGCACTGAAGATAAACTATATTGTGGACATTGTCTTGGAAAATGTCACTTAATGAGTATTCTTTCTGTAGTCTGCTCATGGTCAGGAGCATTACTTTCCCAATGGCTCCTCTGAATTCATTTCTCCCATACTTTTCCGCCCAATAAAGATAGCAGGAGGGAATTGCTAGGAATTATGTAATTATAAGCATTTCTGCAGCTGGGATTGCAGGAAGCAAGCCTTCGCTGTTGTGGGGCCTGCCCTTTGGAATGAGATCACCCTGAAATCCCCACCTTTTGGGCATTGGCATAAAGCCTTGTTGAGATGGATGGGGCCCCTTCTTGGGTATGCCTTTTTATTGTTTTTATCTCTGTATAGTGACTGGATCCCATCTTCTTTTGAATTGGATTGGATTACTTTATGGTAGTATATTGTGAGCTGCCCAGAATCAGTTGGAAACTAAATTGAATTAAATTAACACCATGAATAAAATCTTTATAAGAAAATGATATTACCTAGTTTTATGAAATAGTTGGATTGGCAAAAACCTGTTTCTAAATTGGTCCATTACTCTGAGAAAACAAGGCCTCTGATATATTTTTTATCCAAGACAGTCCTCAAAGTGTATGAATGATAACCAGTACCTCCATTGGAATTTCAAAGATCATATTTATATCTCATCTGCTAAAACATAAAAAGAAGACTTGAAATTCTCAGTTTACTTGCATTTTTATTAGAACTTCAGCAGCTACCATGTCATTATGTTTAAACCATTGGAGGAAGAATGAGTATAGATAGTTTGAACAAGGCAGGGCTCCCCCTACTCCATATTCTCTCTCTCTCTCTCTCTCTCTCTCTCTCTCTCTCTCTCTCTCTCTCTCTCTCTCTCTGGTACTACAGTTACTACTGCTAGGGAAAACAGGATGTGGCTTGAACTGGCTAGCAAGTGATAAGGAAGCAGAATGAATTATATCAGCCTCTGTGGAACATTCACCCTTTGTAAAACTTTCACTTTTTAGAACTCCCGTAGATTGCAAGCTTGTTGCCTGATTCCATGTATATAAAAAGAGTTTTCATCTTCTGCAGCATAGGAAGAACTGCTGCTTGCTCCACCCTTCCAGCCTGCCGTGGTTTTCAGTAAAGATCTGATTCCAAAAGATGTAGTCTCCATTGCTTGAATCCAGAAAACAATTATTTCTCAATGTCATAATTTTTTTTGTATTTGTTTATTTATTAGATTGGTAACCCATTCTTCATTGAGGAGAGGGAGCTCAAGACAGCATATATAGCTGTTTCTCAGCCAACATATGATATATGTTGGCTGAGAAAGAATGACTGGCCTCAACTGTCCCATTAAGCTTCCGGAGTTGAAAGTGGACTAGGACTTGGTCTCCTTACTCTGGTTTAATCTTAATCCACATACCATGCATGTTGTATAAACTTAAGATGTTCTAGTTTTGCAGCCAACTACTATCAAGCAAACCATTCCACAGTATTTGTCACACAGACTAACAAGAGTGTCTTTGTGCAATTCATTAAACCAGCGTCATGCACTGGTTAAGGTAAATCTAGGGAAATCCAGATTCAAGTCTACCTTCAGCCGGGGAAGGTTCTGTGTGACTTTGGCCCAGTCACTCTTTCAGCCCAGGGTTGTTGTTATTGGAACAGATGTAAGAAAGGATTGCCAAATGACCACCTTGAGTTCTTGAACAAAAAGTGCAGTCTATCAAAAGTTATGATCTGTTCATGTTTTTATTCTGTATTTGAGCTACTTTAAGTCATCAGCAGAAAAGAAGAAATCCTAGCAAGATGTCTAAACAGAACATGGGCCAAGTTTTATTTCTCTATTTCTCTCTCTCTGGTGTATATTTTACTAAATACTTTTTTAAAAAACTAATTATAAAGCAAGAAAAATTTTAAAAAGTCAAAGAGAAAGCTAAAAATGCAAGAAAGGGGGGAGGAAGTAAAAGGAAGGTTTTATTATCTTTGGTGGATAAGCCAAAAAAATTGAATACAAATACATTTACCGTATGAATACAGGACATTTTAAAGATCAATATACAATTGAAACTGGAAGCTTTCCTTTTGGAATTGAGGAATAGACAGCTGGAAAAAGGATCATGGAATTTGTTTATATATGACAACTGCAGCAAGATTATTATATGCACAAAAGTGGAAAATCAACACTACCCACCATGAAGGAATAGTTGGTGAAGTTGATGGAATCTGCAGAGAACTACATTGATTTCTTTAATTCGAGAAAAGACTAATTTATTATCTATATTATTTACATTTATTGCTGACTGAAAGCCCCTTATAAACAGAAAAAAATGAACTTATGATTTATGGTTTTGACCATCAGAAAAAAAATAGATCACAAAAAAAGAGAATTTGTTTTTGTAACCATAGAGTAAGAGAATTTTATATTTGTAATACTTGCTGTAAAGGAAATCAGAAACAATATTCTATTTGGGGTTTTTTTCTTTTTAAAGTTTTGAATCTTTCTTTATCCTTCTTTTTCTTATCTTTTTATTTTGTATTCTTGTTAGTTTTTATCTTTTTAAAATTTGTATGTGTTTAAAATTTTTAATAAAAAGTGTATTAAAAAGAAATATAAGCAAGCAAGAGATAGAGCAAATGTCAGAAAAAAATGCATAATGAAAGCAAATTAGCATTAGAGAAGTCAGGAGGTTGAGAATCACTTTCAAAGGAAATGTAAAGACAGTCCTGCTTCCTGGGAATCCACCACATAAGCCAGTTCATGAAAATATTTTTATCACTTCCTGTAATAATAAAGGGAGAATATTATTAAGAAAGTAAAAGGGGACATTACTAAATTGGACCAGTATGAAAATAATAGTTTATCAAAACAAGAATATATTTATTGTCATACTGGTGAATTGCTCTCAATGTAGGACTATATAAGCTTTTAAGAGGTAGTGAATGAAATGCTTTATTTAATATATATATATTAAGAGAAAAAATACTTTAATATTTTTTTACATCTCCTGGGCATAACTTAAGCAAATTGATACAATCTCTTAACATCTAAAATATGCTACATGGTTGCATTGCAAGAGTATATCTGAATATTTTATATAAATGTATGGTGTAAACCAGCCATTTATATTCAGAGTACCAAAAAGAAAGAGTGAACACTTCCACTGCAGGCTGTAGGAATCTAGCACTCAAGCGCAGTAGGGATGTTTTATCTTGTTCATTTTATTGATTGTATTTTTACTGGTCAATGACTGAAAAAAAGTTTCTGCCAATACTCAACAGGCTGGCCCCACTGCAGCCTTACGCAACTTGATTTCTGTGCATAAACTGGCCTGAAATTAAGCTGGTTTAAGAAACATTTTTAACTTGGGCCACAAAAATGGCAAGTATTCTATCCAAACTATGCTTATCACTCCCTTACTAGTATAATTCCCCTCTTTTTTAAAGATAGATAGATAGATAGATAGATAGATAGATAGATAGATAGATAGATTAAAAACTAATATGAACAAATATAAACAAAAAGAAAAATCAGAAAGGCTTAAATGTGCAAGAAAGGGAAAAAAGGAAAAAATACAAGTAGTGGCTTCTGATCTTTACAACAGTTAGACTCTCAATTATAAATTTAGCTTTTACTCTAGGTTTACACAATTACTCTTCTTTCAGTAGTCTATCTTGCTTAATCATCAAAACCATAAACCATAAGTTCACTTTTTTCTGTTTTACACAGTATGTCCATAGGCGGTTTCCACTCAACAATAAATGTAGATATCAAAGGAGTCAGTTTGGTTATTTCAGCAAGTTCCATCATCCTCACCAACCATTTCATTGCAAGTAATACCTCCATCTTTATGCATACATTTCAGCAAGTCAGATATAATTCCTGAGGGAGGGAATTACATAGTAATGGGACCACCACTTAAAAGATCTAGTGTCGGTGTGTGATAAATCTTCCCAATAATATCCACAAGACCATCTTTCCCTAAGGACATCTACCCATCCTGCAGGGTGAGCATGCTCCTAGTCCCTTCCCCCAAATAGTGTTATCTAAGGGGAGCTAGGAAGCATGCCTTTTCTGTGT